GTTCAGTAAGGAATTTTATCTATTCCTCTATTTGTTTTTGTTTCTGTGAAAAGATCAATAGCAGAAATTGACCAAGTGTTTTGGGGGAGGCATTAAGAAGAGAAGACTCTCAGGTGATGCTGGAAACTATATGCTAAATCTCATACTTTATATTTTAAAATCTTGGACTTTAAATCATTCATTCCATAATTACAAAAAAAGAACATACTTGTAAGAGAAATTTCAAAGACTATTAAAGATTTACTAAAGGCTGAAAGCCCTTAGTCATTAGATTTTGGAGGACTTTGGAATATCAACATCTGAATTTTGTTCTATAGCAGTAGGTGATCTATGAATTTGTGTCTTAATGACTTGGATATTTTGGGAAGCTTAATCTAGTAGGTTGTGGTATTGAGCACAAATTCAGGAAGGAATTCAAGCAAGTTTAGTCAGCCCTGGAGGGTGCTAAGAATTAAATGGGAAGATTTTTTTTTGGTCTATTTGGCTGGTGAATTAGTAAAGATACCAGTCTACCCCCAAACAAAGCTCTCAGTTCTAGTTTTTTGTTTTGTTTTTTTTGTTGTTGTTGCTTCTTAAACAGCAATGGATGTGATGTTAGGACAGGAAATAATTGCAAATCTAAAGGGATGGACACAAGCACACTCTGTGGATAGGTGATTGAATCCACTGTTGAAGTAATGCTGTCAGTTCCCCAACTCCTACCCTTTCCCCTAAGGCTATGACATTAGAAAAGTTAAGCTGATGATCTGTTTTTGAAGCACTACACATTCTCAGAATGTTGGTGCATCCATACTGAATCATCCATACTGGCATCACTGATGTTTTTGTTTCTTACTAGAGTGAATTTTTAAAATTCTTAATTTTTATAGTTCTTTGTGAAAGCCATATCTTGATCTAGAAAGTTTACAATTTTTTTTCTCTGTTTTCTGTGATTTAGATTCGAAAAAATGGCCAAAAGAATTGCCGAGAAGGAATTGACAGATAGAAACTGGGACCAAGAAGATGAAGCTGAAGAGGTAAAAAAAAAAAAAAAAAAAAAAAAGTTCCCCCCAGAATGATTTCTTATTGTACCTACATTTAGTTCATTTTTGGGTTCCTCCTGAAGAATTGTGGTAGAATTAAGTCAGACATTTTAAGAACATCCCAAATGGGTGGTACTGTGGTCTCTTGTGACTTGTGTGCTTTTCCACTAGTGCCTGTTCCTAAAATATTCTTTGGAAAAGCACCTTCCCCCTGAATTTCATATACTTGGCAGCATTCTAAACCCATGATTTTGAATAAGTCATTTTAGTCATGATTGAAGAGTGACTTAAGTGATCTGGTCATGAGGTTAACTCAGTGCTGGCACTCAGGTGGGAAACGCATCACCATCTCAGGCTGCTGTCCCTGTCACTTTAGGTTTCAGAAGTTGAGGTTGTTTGCCTTACTCAAATTCTTCTTGTTCCTATTCTGATGGTAGAGCTGATACCCCCAGCAGTTGCATTATTAGTAATAGAATTCCTAGTCTGTAGTTTCTTGAGAAGCAAAATGAAAATCGTCTTCCCTGAATAAATCTCACCATGTTTCTCTTAGGAAGAATAAAATGTAATTGCATTTCTAGTGTCTCACCAGCAGTTGATACTGCTAGGCCAGTTCACTCAGGACATCTGTAGCCAAGTTTTTAGCCTTTCAAATTTATAACATAGTCTAAGTAAGGAAAAGAAAAAAGGTAAAAGAATTTTACAGGAGTGTTTCTAAGCTTATTCTTTGACTAATATCTTCCTTTCTGAATCAATCTTTTCTGTTACTTTTTTTTTTCCTTTAGAAGTAGATATACTTTACTTTTTAAAAAAAAAATTTATTTGGTTTTGGGGAACCAAAATCACAGTGTGTTAATGTTTTCACAGGACCTTTAACTCAAAGGTTTTTCTGTGTATGTTTTTGGTGTGGTTTGTTTTGTTTCTGGTACTTGGTATTGAACCCATGACCTCATGTGTGCTAAGTTAGTGCTCTACCATTGAGCTACATTGCCAGCCCCTTTTTTAGAATTTTATTTTGAAACAGGGTCTTGCTAAGTTGCCTAGACTGGCCTTACACTTGTGCTCCTCCTGTCTCGGCCTCCCCAGTAGTTA